GGGGGCAACCAAACCTCCTGCTAGTTCCAGCTCCTTGGCTTCTAGCCGCCATCTTGGTTGGGTCGCTCTAATTGGCTATTGGGCATGGCTTAAGGTGTAGCGAAGGTGCGGTCAATTTGCATGTTTGTCTTTTATTAGTGTAGATTGGTGGAGCAGTCTCTATATATAAAAGGCTAATATGCTAATTGTCTGTCTGACTGGTAGCTATGATGTGCACTGACCACCAGGGGGCAGATGCTCAACACAGGAGCTGCTGAGCTGCAGTGACTTGGCAGCAGCAGTGCTTGGGTGACACACCCTGAAACCAGAGAGGGGCGAGCCCAACTCCTCACGGGGCTGTGTGATTCCACCTTTGTCCAGCCAGGGTTATGTTGTTGCTGGGGCACTGTTGGCCCCGCATCTGGTTTACTTGCATTTGTTCCACACCCTGTACGATAGCAACTTTGCAGAGTGCCCTCTCACACACTGGGACTCCTCGGGGGATGTCGGAGAGCCTGTTTCAGCCCAATCTCTGCAGGCCAGGCTGAGGGACCCCACTTCCAAAGGGACCCTCCCCCCTCACTCCACAGCCATCCTTCAAGCCACGACGCCACTCCAGGTGCAGCCGGCTGGGGAGGGACTGAGGAAGGTTGGCTCCAGGGCATGTCCAGGCGTTCTTGCCCAGTCCCACCCCACCAGCCACTTTCTAATTAATTTCTTTCAATGTGCACGAATCCATGCACTGGGTCACTAGTCCTATCTAATAAAAGGCTAATACGCTAAGTGTCTGGTCATCCGGTTGGCTATTCAACCAAAGAGTAATATGCTAATGATATGCTAAGGCCGCTCAACCGCTTGCTATGATGTACACTGACCACCATGGGGCAGACAGTCAACAAGTTGACAAGTCGCTATGACGTGCACTGACCACCGGGGGCAGATGCTCAATACAGGAGCTGCCCCGTGGTGGTCAGTGCCCTCCCACAGGGGACACGCTGCTTAGCCAGTAGCCAGGCTTATGGCTGGGAGAGCACAGCAGTGGTGGTAGGGAGCGGGCCTACGCCATCAGTCGGACATCCCCCGAGGGCTCCTTGATTGTGAGAGGGCACAGGCCAGTGAGGGACCCCCACACCCCGAGTGCATGAATTTTTATACACTGGGCCTCTAGTAGGAAATATATTACCAATGATATATTAGTTAATATATTATTTCTCTCTAATTAACTTTTTCTAGACATATGATATATTTTTATTTAAATTGCAATTCCACAAATATTTTCAATAGTATTTGTATCATGCCATTAACAAAACTCTATTATATTCTCTCTCAAATTGTTTCTTCATTTTGTTCTTTACTACATAAAAACAAAAAATAAAGCTCAGCCTTACCATAAATATGCACAAAGTGATTAAAGATTTCTCATTACAGACTTTAAGGGTGATGTTTCTTTTGTTTTGCTCACTTCATCAGCTAATCAATGAAAAGGAAATCCTGGTTCTGTTATCCTGAGAGCAATTGGGGTTTAGATTTTACTTACTTGTATTGCTGTTTCAAACAATGGTTAGAAAATTGTCCAGATATAGTTCATATTTATATATGTGCTTAAGTATTTTTCATGGATTTTTCTTTTTATTTTATCTCTATTAGGTATATGCACTTGGTATCACAACATTTGGTCTGTTATTTTATTTGAAATGTTAAAAGAGTTGCATTTCTCTCTCATATCTGAACATTTCATTCTTGCTCTTAACAGCTGAAGATGCATGTGGAGGAACCATGAGAGGATCCAGTGGTATTATATCAAGCCCTAGTTTTCCCAATGAATACCATAACAATGCCGATTGCACTTGGACCATTGTAGCGGAGCCCGGGGACACGATTTCACTCATATTTACCGATTTCCAAATGGAAGAAAAGTATGATTACTTAGAAATCGAAGGTTCTGAGCCACCTACAATATGGTAAGTAGATATTTTTTATTAACCTGGCATTGATATTGTTGCCTAAGACAAATTGGGGATCAAAATATAGTTATATGTGGTCCTTTACATTTTTGAAAGAAATTTGCAATTAACAGGAACATTATAAGTGGTAGCTGTCAGAGATAAGGGATATTTTAGAAAGTCAGGGCATTGATAGAGCAGATAGATTGGTATTTTGAAAGACAGAGCTTCCCGTCAGTATTTCCTTATCACTCTATTCATGGAAAGTAATGTGATTTAATCAAAACTTGAGTAAGGACATTACATTTCTAATGTAATCTACAGTTGTGTTATTATTTAGTATGCCAGTCCATACTAGATGGTTCCTTTCAAATTAATAGAATAGTCCTTGAAGAAATTTGGCTTTATTTTTGTAGTTAAATCTTATATACCCTTTTATCTTAAAGCAAAATTTAAACAATATATTCTGAGTAAGTGTGGTCTCTTTCTTTAGAAACTCAAGACATGTTCAGAAAACTGCAGTTTTCATAAGATAATTTTAAAAGAAAATGTTCCTTTATGTCATTTAAAAAAAATTGAACACATTTATTACTAAAGGGTAAAGTAGATTATGAATCAGTAATTGAGTAAGGAATGATAAGATTAGTGAAGAAAAAAATATATAAACACTAAATTAGGAAGGGCCTTTTAAGCCATGTAAAGGATTTGATAAGAACAATGGGAATTTATTAAAGTGTTTTTATAAAAAGCAGTTGCATGAAGAGGTCTAAATTCTGAATTTTCAAATGGTTACTCTTATGTGTAAAGATTGATGTTCAGTGGGGCTCAATTAGCTGTGGGAAGACCACTTGAGAGGTGACTGCTGAAATCCCAGAACAAATCACAGTAGCTTGGATTATGATGGTATTGATGGAGATAAAAAAAACGTAGAATGAGCTGAGAGATATTTAGGAGGTAGAACGAATAGGACTCTGTAACGGGCTGAGGAGTGATAAAAGAAAAGATAGTGCTAAAATAAATCATCATTTTCTAACATACAGATTGTTAAAGACATTGGAAAATGTTGAATGAAGGTCAAGTTTGCAGTAGGGATGCTATGAATATTGAATTTTTTAAAGATATATTTAGTTTGAAGAATCTTTTATATCTGTCTATATGATTCAGGAGTTCTGAATAGAAGCATAACTGGTATATAGTACACATAGATGGTAATTGAACCAGTAGACATCAGTAATCATGGCTAGATAGAGGTAGGATGGAATGAGAAGACAGGACTAGAAGGGGACTAAGTCTGTGCATCAATAACATAAGAGTCAGGCTGTTTTATTTTCTGGAGTAAGCATGGGACAGTGGAAAGAATGACTTTTAAAATTGATATGAACTTTTCAGTTTAAGAGAAAGCAGATGATAGACTCAGGGAGAAGCTGCAGTCAAATTTCAATGGCTGTGTAAAGGAAAGCATGGAGACTTTGGCTGTGTTTGCAATATACCACATACAAGAGGACAATTTTAATAATTCAGTATTTCCTATATTTGAAAATAATGGATATTTAAAAATTAATGTTTATTAGCTTTCATGAAGTAAAATATGTTCAGGATTTCTTCATCTCTATATTCAACAAGATAATTACCTATTTGCTTTGGTTCATAGAAAATATTGTTAGTCTTCAATATATTGTTAACTTTATGAGCGAGAGTATATAGTTCATGCTATCATTCCAAACTTTTAGGGAAATTACTTCAGAATTTTTCTAAAAGAACCATTGTCTTCATTTAATTAGGCTTGAATGGTTGGAAAGTAAAATAAAGAAATAAAAATTAAAAACACCTTTTTGGCATATCAGGGATTGACTGAGAGTACGAAAAAACATTAATAAATTGTTCCAGGAATACTACGACAAAAATGAAACAAAACAAGAACAGCAATACAATTGCAGAGGATGAAGAAAGGGTCAGCTTGAGTGAAAATTATGTAGTGAGAGAGAGTGGGAATAGCTGAGAAGGACAGTAGAACACCAACAATGTGCCTTAGGGAGTTATTAAGGAAAATACATGTTTAATGTTCAATATTAAGATATATGCTCAGGCCCTAGCTGATTTGGCTCAGTGGATAGAGCGTCAGGCTGTGGACTGAGCGATCCCCGGTTTGATTCCAGTCAAGGGCTCATGCTCAGGTTGCGGGCTCAATCCCTAGTTGGGGGCATGCAGGAGGCAGCCAATCAATGATTCTCTCTCATCATCGATGTTTCTATCTCTCTCTCCCTCTCCCTTCCTCTCTGAAATCAATAAAAAATATGTTAAAAAAAAGATATATCCTCAGCTGGGTTGAAATTTAATCCTTAATTCCATTCTTGTGGGGTAATTGTTGACAATTGAAATCTGTTGAAATCAGCCTGAAACATTTGCACCAGGTTTTGAAGAGAAACTCATCTCCTTTTGACATATGATCCCAAGGTATGTGGTTTATGTACTAGTAAGTAAAGTACAAACCTGTCTGTCTTCTCACCATGTTGTAAATTATCAGAAAAAGAACAATGATTTTTCTAACTTTTCATTTTTTCCTTATGAAGTGGATGTGTTGTATAGTTTCTTAGGAAATAATAGTTTTATACCAGAGGTTTTAAAGGATTTGCGATTGGGAAAGGATTTTTATAAATTCTATTGTTTTATAATTAAGCAATCTTTTTCAATTAAATTGGAGTTCAATGAACATACTAAACATATACTGATTAACACTGAAAATTCAGTTAAAAAGAAAATTCAAGTTATACTTTTAATTTACTCAGGAAGTAAAATATAATATCACTCAAGGAAAGACTAGATGAGGTCATATTTAAAAAACAAATACTTAACTTTTCAAGTTCGTGGCTTATATCTTAATGAGCATAAGTAAAACCATTATATTTGTAGAAATACCTTGCTGAATCTTCAGGTAAATTATACAAATTCTTTACATATGTACTTAATATTAATGTAATAAATTATATATACACCCAGGCACATATGCTTCCAATAATGTCTTCGTACTTAATTTACCTTTGTCATATTATCTATTGTTGATATATATATTTTTTCTTTTTTAACTCTTCTTTCTTCCACAAGAACAGTTTATCCTCCACATAACCACTTGTAATGATAAATTCTAAAACTTCATGGATTTCACCTTTTGAGATTATTCTGTTTCTTGAGGGAATGATTGAAGGAGCATGACAGGATTAGGTTACTAGGAACCACTGAGTGCTATGAAGACACTTTTTGGAATGAGATCATGGATTTTGACAGAACTGAATCTGTCTTGTTAGAGCAGGGTAACATTATGCAAACTCACAGAAAATAGAGTGCTCATTTAGCTATTCACCATGTTCTCATCTTTACTCCCACCTTTCCTTCCCATGCTCCAGTAATAATGGCATCCCTTCAGTTTCTTAAAATAGGACACAATTAATAAGTCCTTTGCAAATACTATTTAATTTTCCTGAATGTTCTACCCCTCCTTCTCCATTTTTTTTACCTGACTAATGTTTATTCCCTCTTCTAATTACATTTTAAAAATTACTTCCTCTCTTTTGTCTCTCTGAGTGTTTAAAGTAGGTAAAATCGTCCTGCTGCACTTCCACAACATTGTCTACATCTTTTAATATCCATTAGAGTTTAAAATTCCTTGTTCAGTGCTTATATTCCTTAAATACTATAATCTCAGTGAAGGCAGATACCATATCAATTTAATTTAAAAATCTTAGGACTGTGTCCAGAGCATATGATGTACCTCATGCTTTTTAAGTGAATGAATAAATGTTATTTATTTGTTTTATGCACCAGAAAACATGTCACCATAACAACAATAGTCTCTCCCTGAGAGTAGATATTTATGGCAAGACACATTATAATTAGAAGCTTGCTCAGTGATCACAGAATTAGAACAGAAAAAGGCAGTTATTGGTTTTAACATTCCTAAGCTACCATAGCCACATTTGGCCATTCCAGAGTGACATACTTGCCAAAGGGGTAAGATCGATGAAGTCTGTGGGCTGGTGGACTGTTCCATTGAGTTGATGTCTTTCCTTCACTTTGTACACTAGACAAGTTATAATCTGCTAGATTAAGATTTTGCTTCCTAGCTTTTATATTCCATCCTTGCCTTGTTAAAAATCTTCACAGGTCTTCTTGATTGAAGTTTGAGTTTCTTGAATTCACATATCTATAATACCTACACACACACACACACACACCATATTTTGCCTGGGAAAAAGTAATTTTGCAGAAGCCTGAATATATACTACATGCTAAAAATAAGTTCTAGTTTTCATTCATTCAACAAACACTTTTGTCCTGGGGGATATATTTACACTGGTTAATAAAATATTCATGAATTCTGATCACACGGAGACTATAATGTATTATCTTCTCTATATACCTTATGATATTAAACACTAATGAACCAGTGCTTGTATAGAATAGTCTACTTGATCTCATCTTACAAATAATTCTTGTTATTACATAACATTTTTCATGATCTTCTTGATGATAGAACTACATTTGTCTGCTATAATAAAAATTACATACTAGACGTAACTGAAAAACATCCTGGGATAACTTTTTTTTTTCTAAAGTACGTTACCTTGTACTTACATGGTTGACCCTTGAACAACTCAGGAATTAGGAAAATTTACCCCTAGTACAATTGAAAGTCTGTGCATAACTTTGACTCCCCCAAAACATAGGTGTCCTTTAGTATCAATAGAGAATTGATTCCAAAATCTATTGAGGATAAAAAAAATGCATGAATACTCAAGTCCTCTATATAAAATGTCATAATCAATACATGTAATCAGCCCTCCACATCCAAAGATTACCTTCTGTGAATCAAAAACAGATATGTAAAGGGGGCCAGCTGTATGGTAATACATGGTAACTGGACTGTGAGGGTGATTACTATGTAGTATATAAATATATCAAATTAGGATGTACACGTGAAGTTACATATTATTGTTTTTTAAACCGTCTCTTGATAAAAAATG